TAAAATTTTACAAGAAAGTTAGAAGTCACTGAGGATTTTTATCAAACCTTAGGCTTGTATAATCTCTTTAAATAAAGTATTAAATTTGGCTATAAGCTTCCTGGTCATTATAAGAGATGAAATAAATAGGTTATATAAATTTTACTCAGCAGTAAAAGGTAGCATGCCATTTTTTCCAAAACAAGAAAATTGTTCCTGGAACTGAAATCTAAAAATAACCAACAAGTAATTTCTTGTCAAGGATATATGAACATTAGCTCCACTGGGAAGCATGACCTGAAATTCTTTCCACTTTTTCCTCTCAGTTTAATTTAGGATATTTTTTTCTCTAGGTGTACAATAATTGAGTTTTGGCATACTGGTATCAGAGAATTTTTCTATTGTAAGCATTGGTTTATGTCATAAAAATGATAACATTTATCATGCTACTGATAGAGTATCAAGCACTCTACTAAGCTCTTTAAATGCATTTGGATCCTCATAACAACCCTTTATGCAAGATTAATCTTTATTATTTTAATTTTATAGATGAAGTTGAGTCTTAGAAAGAACTAGTACATGTGGAGCTGCAATCCAAACTCAGGAAGTTTTACTGCAGAGCCCACATTTGTCACTACAAAGAAACTCCACCTCCCATTGTTCCACTAAGAAAGCTCTTTGAGGGCAGGAATCAACTCTTATACAAGTCATAGTCTCCGCACAGTCCCTGGCACATGGAAGATGCTTTAAAAAATGAGTGACATTTTGCAATTTAGTGGACAAGCCACATGGCTTTGCTGGAGATGCAGAAACATTCCTTGTGAAAATTCTTTCTTCATTAACCCTTTGTAAATGCTGAGGATATAATATAAAAATAAAACTCAATGAAGACATTTATAGGCTTGCAGTGTGGTTAAACGAGCATTTTTATAAGATAAAATTATGATGGATTTGGCTCAAAGGTTTATTGTTGCTCAAAGAAGTACATCAGAGGCAAAATCAAGAAGAAATAAACAAGAAACCTCAAATGGAAAAGAGAAAAAAGTATAAAAGATATGAATAGGCAATTGACAGATGGAAAGCCCAAATAACCGACAAGTATATGAAGAAATGTTTAAAATCATTAGTAACCAGAAGAACTCAAATTAAAACAATAATAAGATATCACTTTATACCCATCAAAAATGCCACATTTTAGACAGGGAATTAACACCAAGTGTTGGTGAGGATGTGGAGAGATGAGAACCCTCATGCACTGCTGGTGGGAGTATAGTCATTCTGAAGAGCAATATGGCAGAAGTAAATAACATGAAACATGTGTATGTCTTTTGACCCAGCAGTCCTACTCCTGGAGATATATGCATATATTCCAGATAAACAGATTTTTCAAGGGAAATTTATAAGGATGTTCACTGCAGTGTTGTTTATGGTAATGGGAAATCCATCACTAGGAGAGGGGTAAGTAAAATTATGGGTGACATACTCTGAAATTCTGTGTAAGAAGAAATGAATTAAATGTACATATAGCAATAGAGATATTTCTTTTAAATTGAGTATTGAGTTTAAAGACTTAAGAAATAGGATAGGATCTATAACACATGTTTTACATATATTAAAAAGATATACACACAAAATAATATTGCCTCCCTATTCAAGGACATGTATCAAACACATTTGAGGGGGTGCATTTGGAGGGAGGGAAATGGGAGTGGGGTCATGGATGAAGGAAAAAATAAAACATGAGAGAGGCCTGCCCAGACCAGAGAGCATGATGTGCCAGGACGTGAGGGAGCTTAACTCTCTGCATCTGAGATATGAGAAGAGTTGGGAGAAAGGGGCTTGTCAGGGAAAGAAAATAGACACTAAAAACTAGAGCTAGTCTTGAGTATTGAGTCTCTATATTTAGTCTCTTTTTAAGCTGATGTCACACAATTTTCACTACTATTACTTTATAATTTGTTCTGATACTTGATACCTCATTCTCCCTCACTAATATTTTCTTTTCAGACTTCCTTTAACGTTATTGTCCATTTACTTTTCCAAATACATCTTAGCCTTTTAAAAAACTGAATTCTGTAAAGTATCATACTGGTATAGTAATTTTAATATACATATATCGTAAGTCTCTAATAAAATCTCAGAAATAGGCTGGGCGCGGTGGCTCACGCCTG